TGTTGATAGTAGATAGAAATAATAAAACTCAGCGTTCTCTTTCAAACTGGCAACAACAATTTCGGACATTTCTTCTATAATAATCACAGAATTTATTCAACATTTTGTGCACAATGACGCCGCGTGTCTGCAAGATCAACAAATATCCATTAATCTACACTATCCAGCAATCTGTCCGTTCATCAGTTCATCTCCATATCTCTCCATCCGTCTATCTATGCTATTTTTCATTTATCTAACCATCCATTCATCTATCGATCCGTTCATTCTTCTATCCATCCATTCCATCGCCCTTCCATCCATCCATTCATCCAAACATCTTCATTCTTGATACAAGAGTTGCAGCAATTTATTTTGCAAAAATCATTTTGAATGTTAATGTTCTTTTTAAATTGCATCCAGCAAACAAAAAAAGTGAATGTTGAATGGAGTTACGTTGAATGTACGTTCAAAGCCGACACAACTTGTGATGAACCAGGGCGCCAGTGACATTTGGAGATAAACTTGCTCATCTATTCAAAATGCCACAATTGCGAGAGTTGTTGAAATTTAGTTAGGCTCTGACCGCATTCAAATGCAGGCTAAGAAAATATATCAAAATCATTGAATCTGTCGCTATTCGAAAGAAGGAAGAAAAATTTCTTTTACATATAAAAATTGATGACATTGAGTGCCTCCATAAATGACTATATATAAGGAATGGACTCCAAAGATAGGAAAGTTCTTACGCTGCAACTGATGTAGCTTTATTAGGTTCATTTATTCGTTGAACGTTTAAAAATATTAAATGAGACAACAGTGATTGTATGAATTATTTATTAGGTTTTATGGCTCCCAAGTTGCTATCTAATGTAATCAAATACCATCCTCAAATATATATACGCTAATAAACTAAAATACAACTAAGCAGTTGAAAGAAGTTTTAAAAACAAAATAAGATGAAAAGTAAGATTTTGTCCATCATGATGTAGTGCTGAAAATTACAAAGTGGCTTACGTAATTTTTTTTACCTATACAGCTGCAAGTGAACACTTGTGCCAGCCAGCAAAGATCTGAGTACCAAACGCACTTAAGTAACATGCAAGTACCGCATCACACGTTAAAGGCATAAGCAAGTTAATCTAAGTTTTGAAAGAACAGCCTTCGAATCGAACCAGATCATCGCGCAATAACAACGCCAGTCACAGCTGTCATGCCATTTGAGCTAACTCGACAAACGTTCGCAAAAAGAGGCTAAATCCTAATGGCAAACATACGAACGACACCGACCACAACTTCACACGGCAGCCCGCTACAACAAGCGCTATCTATCTACCTTTGAAGTATTAAAAGAAGCTTCAGGCAGTTATGTGTTAGGAATTGTTATTTTAGTGTTTTGTAATTAACTACAGACCATCGTACAGGGATTTCTAAACCTCTGTATGGTAATTTTGTGTCCCTGTCTGTTTGCACGTGTGGTTGTTGTTTGTGTTGTTGAAAGTTTGTGTGGTTAATTGTGTTGTTGTGGTTTGTGTTGTTGTAGTTGGTACGGTTGCAGTTCATGTTGTGTTGCTAATAATGGTTTTGTTGTTACTTGGTCTGAAGTTGGCCTGTTGTTATTGATGGTGAATTTATTATTGTTATTATTGTTATTATTATTATTGTTATTATTTTAATTATTATTATTGGTATAAGTTATACTATTATTGTTGTTATTCTTTGGTAACGACAACGTTGATGCTGATGATGCTGCTGTTAAAAAAACTTCATAATTTAAATTTTACTTTTTGTGTTGCTGTGTAATTGTTGTTTCGTGCCCGTGGCTGTCTTGTTGTTTGGTTGCATTGAGTAGTGTGGTGTGGTTTTGTTGTGTTGTGTGTTTGTTGTATAGTGCAGTTGTTGTATAGTGTGGTTTTGTTGTGTTGTGTAGTTGTGTACTGTGGTCTTGCGTTTTTGTGTGGTAGTGTGATTGTTTTATTTGAAATAATATATAAATCCTATATATTGATATGCAATTATTGATGAAAATATATATATATATATATATTATATATATATATAAATATATATATATATATATATATATATATTGATGTTTATATTAAACATATTAATATTAAATGGATCTCACGTATATTTATACATTTTTTTATCATAAAATAAATTTTTTGCAAACTGCAATTACTACGTTTGCGTATTAATACTATTATTTTTTTGTAATTATTTAGAAACGCGTTTATTGCTAATGTAATATAGATTTTTCTTTCTCTAAGTAAAGAATTTTCGTTTATTAACCAAAAAAAATGTAATGCTCAAA